CCAAGACAACAACCCTTTCCAAGGTCCTTAACCTCTCCAAGATGACTACCCTCTCCAAGATGACTACCCTCTCCAAGACAACTACCCTTTCCAAGGTCCTTAACCTCTCCAAGATGACTACCCTCTCCAAGATAACTACCCTTTCCAAGGTCCTTAACCTCTCCAAGATGACTACCCCTTCCAAGACAACTACCCCTTCCAAGATAACTACATATTGACCAATGCGCTGGAAATGATCGTGTTTCCCCTGGAAACTAGCATAGTAGACGTATTCCATTCTGATTTCCCAGAGTTACTGCCCTTCGTTTTCACTCTGTCAGTGTAGCGATAAGCTTGACAGCCAATGGGTGCTGAGAATGACGTAGTCTTGCACTGATGGTGGTTGCATTCGACGCGTAAAAAAAAAAACACTCAAGGGGATCGACATCATCTCTTTCAATGTACAAAAAAAAATAATTCAGTATGCCATCGATATAACTAGCGCTGTTATAACTCAGTCTCTTTATTACTTGTAATATTTCTATTTCCGTGATATTCTTATCAAGTTCCTCCTGAGATACATGTGTATGATCATAAATGTAATTATTGTCATAAATCTGAATAAATCGTCTTTTTCTGTATTTATGTCTGGGACGGTAGAGTCTGATGATCTGAAATGTTTAAAAAATCTATAATTCCTGTTTACTGTTATTACGTTTCTTATTCTGAAAACAAGTGTAGATGTTTTTTAGGATAATGTTTCCAGATCGTTGATCATGTTGCCAAGTTGTGCTTTATACTCGCTCTTGAGCCTCAGCTCAAGTTTCTGATACAGTTGTATTTTGATGTATACAGTTTCAATGATTATCATATAATTTACAAGCAATAAATTCTGTTAGGACAGCTTTATATTCCTGGTGTCTGGTTCTACATTAGGCGGTTAACCAAGCCTTATCTACTGTCTGAACTGTGCATTTATTGCATGTTTGTTTGATCTGTATTTGGGAACAAAATGGCTGAAAAATTTCTTTCAAAAGTTCGCCACCCTCCCACCTAACCGTAGAGTTTATGTGTAATGTGGGACATTAAACTGTATGCACACTTTGTGAAACACTTATGACTTCATTGTGGTAATATTTTTTTTACTCCATTACAAGTAAACATCACCTAAAATTTGAGTTTGTAAGCCACGGTCAAAATCACATAATCAAAATTTGTTTTGTACCATCGGAAAAGTCTTGTCACAAGGAACACACATGCCAAATATGGAAACCCTACCTGTTGCGGTGCAATGGTTATGAGCAAGGTTAAAGCTGACAACAGACAAACAGAAAGACAAACAGACAGCACAAAACCAACATCCTCCCAGATTTTTTAGAAGTGTTTACACAATTTCTTTCATAAAATTTCTTGCTTACACTAATATATAATAAAAACTCTTTAACAAAGTATAAAAACACTTTGTCTAAGATCACTTACAGACAAATAACATTCAGTTTTCATTGTCGATAAGAAAGACCAAAACTGCCTATAGGAAGTGATGTGACCTGCTACATTAAACTGTAACAAGCTGTACATCTGGCATGTTCACGAGACATAAAGGTACGGTATATATGATATCATGGGACATTCCGCGTCAATATGTCAGATATCTAAAATATGAATATAACCATAATTTTAGGTCGAAGTTTTCAAATGTAAAACTTTTCAATGTCCTTTTTTGTATCTAGACTTGTATACACCCTCACAAACGTGTTAGCGATGCTGATAAAATCCCTATATTTTTTTTAGCAAGTGGTACATTATATCATGTAGCTATGAAAATCGAAGGAAAAAAATCGCAATTTTACAAACAGACTGTGCCAAGAGAGACAACTCGTTCGATCATTGGTGCTGACAACACGATGTTGGTCACCTGATGCACTGTTTCACAGAGTAGGGTCTAACACATGTACATGTGAACATGACTCACTAAGGTCTGCAGTAATGAGATTACTCAATGGGTTTGCTGTCTTGGACAGTACTTCAAAGGGGGGTGTCCGTTGTCCAAACTGGTAAGGACCAGATGTGGATGGACGTGGCCAAAGCATGAAACTGTATCTATTAAGTTGACCTTACCCTTTGATGCTTTTATTACTGTCGGTTAATCAGTCCTGGTATGTCAGCCCTAGTAGAGCCAATGATCGAATAACAATTATCAATGCATCAACATTTGTAATGAACAACAGTGGTTGGCGGTTGTATCATTCTACGATAACTAAACAGTTTGTATAACAGTTTTCAGTGGGTAACACCGTTGATATTTTTCATGGATTTCTCAACTATTTTATTTCAATATCTGTTTCCTTTTGTAAAATGTATCAGTTCGTTACTTCACCATGGTAAGCCTGCAGTTCGGTATCATATATATGGTATACCTACGGTGTTTATGAAGACTTTCCTATCACCTGTAGGTTCCCCGCGGTCCTCCTTCAGCGTGCATTGTCCATTTTGGGTCTGATTGAAAACCGTTTTAAATATCAATATGGCCAAATTTGGCAATATCGTTATTTAAATATGCAAAATGGATTTTACTCGATATTTCCGGTCTATGTTTGATGAGAAACTACATATTATGAAAAAGTAATTAACAAGGACTAGAAAGGTTAGTTATTAATTTGCCAGTGATTGGAACATAAAGAACTACAGATTTACCTATTATCTTTCCTTAAAATGAATTTGTTTATATTTCATTTGATACTATGTGACAAATAATTAAACCCAGGACGAGCTATTGTAACGATTATACATAATTCAAGTAAAATGTAAACACATAATGAAAGTGTCACTTTATATTGTAATACGGGTTATCTTTCAGAAAAAAACCCCAGAAAGAACGGCTACTTGGATTTCCCAATAGGTCTTCACACTTTTATACCTTTTGAAGTGTGTATGTGTAGGACGGGGGTTACGGGGTTTGATAATATGGAAATATTATGGTTTTTTCCCGATGTACACAAATACAAAAACAGGTATGTGTTCAATATTTGAAGGGATTGGCCCCTAAACATGTTTAATATTCCGAGAGGTTTGACGAAGTAAAGTTACAAGACGTACGGAACTTAGATAAAACAAACCCCTTCACCAACTTTATAGTTATGTCGAGAACTACCATTGGGTGCGTCATGGGGATCATATTCCGGCCGTCTGCGCTGTCTCGCGAACGTACCATGGTTTAAACCAATATACACTCACTAACGCACGACATTCTCACCTGTCACACACATACCTGAAAACGCAGACAAGATATTTCCATATATGGACAATAGGGACACTACTGCAGTAATGGATATTAAACAGACAAAACACGGACAGTAACAAAATATGGACTGAACAGCAGGACACAATGTACTGAAACAAAGTTTTCGTCGGATACAAAATTAACTATAAATCACATATAATGTTAAGTATCCATATTTAGTATCCATGTGACATATATAAATCATAAAATGTAAATTTTACTGATAACTATGATATATAACGATGTCTGTTAAATTGAAAGAACACAGCGCGGTATATCAAACCTGTTTAATTTTCTTTTTTTGTTCCGTGAGTTGGGATGAGGTGTGCCTATATTTAATAGTGATAAATCGCCACTGTGAAGTCACCAAATCCTTTTAAGGACATTATAAGTCTATTAATAGATGTTACCAGAGTGGATTTCTCAATACACACCTGTCTATTCCACAGCACACATTCACTGGGTACGGTCACAATATAGCACGTTAGCATTCCGTGGTAGGTTGAGCATTACAGTTAAATTATTCGTGGGGCTACGTAGGGGTAAATGTAAAACATGAATAACTTATCTACGAATGTTAGGGTGGACAATTTTCCTTATATCGATTTGAAGCCAGAAATGTATAGTTCGCAATATACTTTTTGTTGCATTTAGTGACATCACTAAAACGATTAGGTGATGTCACCGATTCAGGTTGAAACTGATGAGGCCACAAATTCGTTGATGTGATTTCCGTAATTTAATGAGCAATATCACTTAGAAAGAGAATTATTCAGCATTTTATAAAACTTTTCAATGACTCTCAATGAGCTGAAGATTGTAGTGATATTATTTCAAACTGGTTAGGTAAAATCACTACAATGATTTGGTGATATAACGATTATATTTATGATCTGAAACGTCTTTCATTTTCATATTAACATGTTTAACATCATAACTCAGAAAAGTTATATTTTAAAGCAAAAATGGGGAGAACAAAATCAAACGACGTGTAAACGTCATTTTCTGATTAGCACAGCCAATGCAAAACTATCCCCTGGGTATACACTAACGAACATTTACCTAAAAATGTTACAAGGGGCGGGGGATTATTGGATAACAGGCGAATTATCTGATTAAGTGATATATCACCTGTTCATTAATGTGATATCATATGAATTGGGCACGAGTTCCTGAGGTTTCACTGTCGTCTTCATACTAAAAGTATAATTTTAAATCCTGTATTTTGTTTTCGAATATATAAGAGATACATGCAAAGGTCTATGACCGAAGTTATGCTGTAGAGACTGAATCATTAGTCTACGATAAAATGCCATACATGCACAATGGAAAATTAACAGATAAAAGAATCTTAAACGTTTTCATTAAAATCACACTACTTCTGGTAAGTATACCATCAGTTGAAACAATCGGGCTGAAGATTGTAATACGTTAGAGGAGATGTGTATATGTGATATATACGTCTCTGGTTAACCCTACATCAGTCGCTTAACCCATTTAACGGGCAATATTTGCGCGTGTCGACGAACATTTATTCATTTACCGAGTTGTAGGTAGAATGTTGCGGCCTTTCGGCCTTTCAGTGGACAAGCCCTCGACAAATACAATAACTATACAGTATGTTTTTATAATCGATAGTAGGTCAATTTCTAGGACGTTTCCCTATCGGGGACCTCTTTTAACCTTACTTCAGCCAATACCGGAAGTGACATCACTGGGTAGCTGTTATAAGTGCCAAGACATTCACAGGAATCTATCTGGCGTTGATGTCCATAATACAACACAGAATCTCAAATTAAGGTGAGAGATTTTTTTTTCATTTCACTCATGGTTTGTAATCCCGAGATAGAATTAACTGTCATGATATACTTGCGATTTAATAGTAAAGATCACTGGCTAACGCTTGACCTAGTGACCAACCGACAACTAACCCGAACGAAAGCTACTGGGCGGTTTCGGTCATTTTGTCCTAACAAGGTCATACCAACAGGTGATTTTTACAGAAAACATACAAGTTTGATTGAACGATATTGATTTCGTCACCATAGATGTTTTCAGTGCACTTGTACGTTTTCTATAACTGTTCAGTTGCAGCGCCGACCGTGTAGTCTGCTGTAGGTCTACGGCCTTCTGCCCTGCCGTGCTACCGAGTACGGAAACAGTTATCTCATTATATTTGATAACGTTAGATGATTTTCTTGGGTGAGGTGACTCGAAGGCACGGTGACTCAGACTAAGATCTTACATTTTATATTATTTTTATTTTCATCCTAACTTTATTTGAAGATGGGGTTAGAAAAGCATGTGCCAGTGTATCATTCTATTCTATTTATACCTATGACAAATAACACTGTTGGAAAGAGAAACACTTGCTCAGGTAGGTGCTGTCAGTAGTTTGTTCCAGGGCGTAAAGTGACTTCATTTCGGCTGGTTTGACAAGGTACTACAGAATAGGCTACCATTATTATATCCACTTACTAATGAAATAATATGGAGAATTTCCTAAATTTTGACTTGTTTTCTAGTGTTTCATCATATGACCTTGTTGCTTTGGTATTTAGGCTTTGTTGTGATGAGTTCAGTTAAATTATCTTGCTGTCTCGCTAGTGCAGCAATGGCACAAGTTTTATAACCGAAAATTTCATTGACAAAACTGTACTTAGAAGATCGCCAAATGTCAGGCTTGACCTATTTAGAGTTTGATATGTTTCAGGTAGAGATAAAATAATTGAGAAGCTTCAACAGACAGACACATTTGTCCGACTATACATCCAATAACTGATGGACAGATCACCAAATGTACCATATTAACCTGTCAGATGATTCAAATGTAGGCTAACTGGTACAATAGACTTTCTGATCATATGACGTTTTGTTTTTTTTCCTCACAAATGATATGGTCATTGTCCAGCAAGTAGTCAGGGATATAGGTACTTGTAGGGATAAAGGTAGGTAGATATATAGATGACTGTGATTCTAGTTCTCTATACCCTATGCTGCAACATACAAATGTACATTTTTAATGGACCTTTATTACACTGTGACAACATTTGATGTTGCTAACTTTTTAGGTACAGTGTACTCCACACTATTTAAAGTCTGCAAATGGCATTACTCGAACAATTTTATACCAGTCTTATTTTATATTTCAGTGAATAACATATGTACTTGTCCAGAAACAATCATTTAGTCCTTTGTCATGCTCTGTGTGCAGTCAACTGCTACATTGTACAGCATAATAAACTTAGGACCAACTATTGAAACAAGTGCAGTGAACAAAACAGGATTACGATAAATCATTCCTTTTTAAAGTCCTAATCAGTGTATCAAGAATCTGATTACTTGTACCATAATCTTTTGTTTGTTTCTTGTCTTTTTTTATTGATATACCAGATATGTTAAAAAGGGAAAAAAAATGTGTTAAATTGTGGTTAGGTTCTATCTATTTAGTGCCTAGTGACACTGCCTCATCCCTTCATAGCATGTTGTTATATTGTCATCCAATTCCATAATGGTATGTGTTGGGTTAAGTTTAAAAAGTGAACCAATATTCCAGAATGAACCCATGAGAAAAACTGCTTGTCAAGATGGTACTTTGTGATCCTTGCTTGATTGGGAAACACAAAGACAGAAGAGACAATGTTGCCATGTCTAATGTGTGACATTAATGACCAATGACACTAGTACTCTACAATTGGCCAGTACTAGCTCTATCACCCTTACGCACCATCTTATGTCACCTTGTGAGTGACTGTTCATGAGAATGGGAAAATGTCATTAAAAAACATTAAAAAAAATTTGCACCTTCTTGAAAATTATTTGAACATGATTGTTGATAAATATTAAAGTCTGTTGTATTGGGGGTTTCTGTAGGTATGTGTTAATCTGTGCAGGTATGAAAGATTATCAGATATTTAAGGAATTTTATTTTGTTTTTTTTTCAGGCAGAATCTCAAACCTTGTCTTTGGTCTTTAAGGATGCCGGAGCCCCAGTTGATGGGCTACAAGCCCACTAGTGTGGAGGGATCAGGTACACAACAATTACATTTTCTTTATTTTGGAAGTCTTACAGCTATAAGATTCAACAATGTACATGGAATATTATAATGTTCACTCACTCCTATTCACTGTACTTTAATAATACAATAGTATTGCTCTGTGATGTATCAAAACCATGTCAATGCAGATTCTGACTTTAGGACTGTCTCTGATGGTAGATTTTTCTGATGTCGAATTCAGTCTCAATCTTTATGTTGGTGCATATCTCCTTAAGTTGACATATGGTGGTGTTTAACACTGTTGGGGATCTCTAGCTGATGTCACTTGGGTGGTGGGTTACCCATGACTGAGGGATGATAGTCGTTAATATGAAATTTTGTTGCAATTAGTTGTTGGTGAGGAGTGATATTTTGAGAAAGAAGTCGCCAAACGTGTAGAAGTTCTCGCAGTTGATTTAGATCCACCCCTTCATTTGGATAGTATAATCATGTAAACTGATCACAAATTTAATTCCCGTCTTTCTAAATGGGTCAATTAAAAACAATTGATATTGTTAATTGTAACACACAACCACTTTACCTTAAAATCCAAGCTGTAAAATGTCAGCAGCAGCATAGGAATCTACCCAAGCTGTCTTGGTGATCACTTGACCTTCATGTTACACAATGCTTATTTAAATAACAGGTAAAGTGCTGTTATATACAAAAATACCCGCATTAATATAACAGTTCACAAGTTAATGTGATAATGTCACACTATTTTCCTGATCATCAAGGTGATCAATACAAGCCAGATGTAAGTTTTGTTGACATATATTTATTTTCTCCATTCAAAATCAAGGTGTATTGCTGATAACACAGACATAACTAATGCCATGTTAACTATGTTTAACGTGCATAAGTCAGATAGACCATGTCCCAAGCATTATAATCAAATTTCCTTACAAGTAAGGCCATTACGACTATGCAAAGTGTCAAGCGATCAACCAGGTGTGCACCTGTTACACAACTGACTGAGTGCAACAGAACTCTCCATGTGTTGACAAAACTTTCTGGACTATTGGGGGAATATTACCAAGAAACAAATTATTTCATTCCCAAAACGTATTTCTGGAGCTGGCATTGGAATTTCTGGACTGATGAGTACAAATAACTTAACGCAACATCTCTAGGCTGTGAGTTTTCCGGACTATTCATGTCTGGATTATCAAGGGTCTATTACATATCAAAACGATCAAACTTTGAAGTCTTAGTGTCAGAGACTGCATTATCAGTGGTTGGTTGCACATTGTATGCTGTATGTACAAATCAGAAGATTGTGATTACACCTATGTAAAATGTACACCTGTATGTTAGTGTCTTGATCAAAGGAAATGTAGATGTTTGTATAATGTTTGAGATAACGTTTCAAAACTATGGTATATGTTGTGGAGGATATTTAAAATGCTTGACAACTTGCAGTTATTTGAATATTAAAAAATCGACCGCTTGCTATGATTTCTGCTTTTTTTCCTTGAAATGATATGAAAATGAATCCTACCAACATGTTTTTATTTTAATCAATATATCTCTCTTCTTTATACACAAGTTTGGATCTTTTTACTTTTGTTGTGTTTTCTGAATCCAATCTATCTACTGAAAAAAACATTCAATTCTTTTTTAAATTTTAATTTTCATTCCATGTTGTCTTTTCACAATTTAGAATTCATTTTCAATAGCAAAACTCAGTTTACTATTTTTATTGTCTAAATTCTTTCTGGTTCCAGTTTCAAGTACATCAAGTACATGTATATAGCTGCTGAAATTGGAGTCTTGTAAAATGAGAAATTTTAACCAGTTTTGTTTTCATCTTTGAGAAAATAATGAATATAGAAAAGAATAGTAAGGTTTGTGTCTTAACAGTAGCATTATTACTGCGTAAAGCTGTTAGCCAAATTAAAACTGTTTATGTGGATATTTTGCCCACAGTTGAACCTTTTTCGCTCATTGCCAATAGGGTAAAAAGAGAATGGGCATTAGTTTGCTCAAGTTTGATGCTGGGCAAAGTATGTAACTTGGTGAAAATAAGCTTTGTGTGAAGTTTCCCTGAAAATATTATAGTATGCTTGTATTTTGCCATAAAAGAATTGTTGCAGGTTTTTATTGTCTTTGACACTGCAAAGTACCAAGACACAACTTACACTCTAAACTGAATTCTTTAACAGTTTTTTGTTTCACATTATCTGTTTTGTGTTTATCATGATATAATTACTGTAAGATGGCTACATAGTAAGTACAAACTTTTTGTCATGATGATGTTGTTGAAATAGAAGAACCTATGACTGAACTTTTCTGTTTGTATATAACGGTATATCACTTATATATAATCAGTCATTTTGTTTCATTGACTGAATAGTCAGGAATCATTTCAGTTGTTTACGTCAACATTAGACTGTCAATTCTGCCTGTAAAAAATAATAGCAGTTTTGATAAAAAAAATTCCTTTTCAATCAAGCATGCTATGATTTTAGACTTAAAATGACGAGGCAGAGAACATTTTCAGAAAATCTCTAGTTATTAACAATACATGTTGACACAATGGTTGGTACAGCTAATGTGATCTAGATTTGAAACCAAACTAAGACTGACCAAGAAGTATATATATCCTTTGAGAAGATCAACTATGCATTTGTTTGTCTCGGTGATAAAATAGTTTTGACAATTTTGACAAACAAGTTGAAATTAAACACTGCAGTTTACAGCAGCTGTACAGTGAAACAGGATACTGTTATCTTCCAAGTTTCATTAAAGGTGTTTCACTTTCCTTTTACCTAGATAACATTTGATAGCCTAGCAACATATTTAAAATGTATGTCACCATTGTCAGGTAGTTGGTTTGTAATCAGTCTGTTTTGTATTCCGTATGTACCTTGATGTTCAATTAATGAGTGTGATCAGCATTGTTGTTACATCACGCTGAATTATTCATGTCTTTCTAACTATATGCAATAACTAATAATATTTTAAGGTTTTCCTTTTTCAAGGTTGGGGGTAGGGGTCAGAAAAGGTTATTTTTTTCTTTACAAATATTCTTGCAAAGTTTACACCACTGTCAGTGTTCTTGGCCGTGGCATTACACATATTAGAATTGGCCTATAAAAATCAGATATTTACATTGATAGCTTTTTACACATGCTTTTTTTCATGGCATATATTAAATCACAGGATGTGCAGGAAAAATGCAGACACCTGTAAAAAAAAAAAGGATGAAAAAGCAGATGACAATGCTACTGTGTTCACTACTGCAAAGGTACATACAATCTAGACTATAGTCAGTCATGTGGGAGAGTCTATCAAGGGTGTAGAATTGGGGTCAGAACCGTGGCTTTGATGAAGCTCCAAACCCAAATTTATACCTAAGGGAGTATATCCATTATCACATATACAAACATATGGTTGACTATTTTGGCAGGCAGCTGTAGTGCTGAATATTTCATGAATTTGATATGACTCTCTTAGAAAATAAATCTTTATTTGAAAAAACAACATAAAAAGTACAATATATCATAGATATACCTAAGATTTGAATGTTACTGCAATCTTTCCATCAGGAGCTGTGTAAAAAAGGTCTGGTAATAAGCCCATGTCTGATAATAAGCCCATGTCTAGTAATAAACCCTCACATATGCACTAATGCACTTTTCAGTAACGCTACAAATAAGCTGACATGTTGAGTAAGATGTTATGATTTAGTTTCCTAAGCTGGGCATATTGTAGAAAAAACATGGTAGGTTCATGATGTATATCTGATACTGAATTTACAGTATGTCTTAATACCTTAGATACCTTCAAGTACAGCACACAAACACAACTGTACTGTTATTACCTCAAACACATTCTGTAATTATTTCACATTACTGCTGGTATGCTTTTTGCATGTCATCATGTGTTGAAAGAAATTTCTGTCCATCAAACATGTGGAAGTAAAATATACCAGGTTCTATAAAGTAGCACTGTTGGGCTTGTACAATTGTAATTAAGATATTTTACCCAAGTCTTATCCTTTGTTGTACTGAGGGGTGGCCATCTTATCTAGGCATACTTTTGTGACCAGGGAAACTTTTGTACTGATCGAGTGTGACTTGGAATTTTTAGGAAGTGGTCGTTTTAGTAGATACTGAACAAGGGTTGGTTGGATTTTTTTTTTATCATTTTATCTTAACACTAAATTATTCTTGACACTTTATTCCAGTGATGAAACAAAAGAAGAATTTGTGATTCTGTACAGTTCTATCTTTACTGCTTCAGATAATTCATTTGCAGATCTTAATTTGGACCTGAAATTATTTTATGATATTTTATATTACCCATGTATATGTAAGCAGTCATTCAATTGGCAGTTTGTGATGGCCTAAATGGCCTAGCTATCACTGAATGGGAAACCCAGGACAGTAAATAACACCATGTGTGGTTGTGAATAAAAAGGACAGTAAATAACACCTTGCATGGTTGTGAATAAAAAGGACAGTAAATAAGTGAGCACTGAACCATAACAAGGACTTAATACAAGATTGTATTACATCATGAATAAAAAAAGAGAAATAAATTAGACATTTTTTTTGGTTATATTCGAGTACTTGAATGAAGATAAAACCTATTGTCAAATTCATGCCAAATTAACATACAGAGCTTCATTGATGTTTTAAGTTTCTGTTAATAATCTTCAGCTCTAAATTATGATGAAAGTGTTCTCTTATGCTTTGTTAGAAATATGTCTTCAGACAACTTCTCAAGGGTTGTTTGGTACATATGTACTAAGGTACTAGTTACCTCCCCTCCCTACACAGGTACTCCAGGGTCAATAGAACACTTTAATACATAGCCATTTAATCATGAGATGGTTATTGTTTGTTTGACCCAGATTGACTGTGATTAATTAAATGTGATGTTCTGACTGAGTAACATGTAAACTATTACACAGTTTTAAACATATTGTGAAAGGTGTAATATACCAGAAATGAATCGAATATATACTTACTGTTGACTTTAATGT